TGAGCCCAGCCATAAATGTTCTTGATAGCAGGATGATAATTTACTATGCCCTAATGTCACATTGGAAATACACAGTTTGGCAATATAACTTAATACCAACGAAAAAGAATGAAAAGCCTCTATCATGTTTCTCAGCTCTAAACTTACAAGACAATAATAACTGTCCACAATATTAAAAATTCCCCATCCACCAGAATGTAAGAAAACTCTTAAAGACAATTGAACTGTCTCTCTCTTGTTTCTGAAGTTAGTTTATAAACTCATATGGCACTCAAAAATCTCAGTGTTAGCTGGGCTTGGTGGCTCAGCCTGTAATCCCGCGCCTTTGGGAGGCTGAGGTGAGTGGACTGCCTGAGCCCGCTGGTTCGAGACCCGCCTGGGCAGTGAGATCTCATCTCTACAATATATATATATAAAAAAAAAATCAGCCGGGCATGGTAACGCACGCCTGTAATTCTGGCTACTTGGAAGGCTGAGGCGGAAGGATCACCGGAGCCCAGTAGGTCGAGGCTGCGGTGGCCGGGAGCGGCTACTGCACTCCAGTCTGGGCGACAGAGTGACATTCTAACTCAAAAAAAAAAAAAAATCTCAGTGTTTAAGATTTACCTGATGCTGGAGTTTAATATTTTCATATCTTCATAACACACAGGAGGATATCAATAATGGCAGGAAGTACAGAAAGGATATTGCTAGAGTAGATCTATAGTATCACTATCTGCCTAGTAAAGACAGAATAACCTTTTCTTTTTTTGAGTCAGAGTCTCAATCCATCGCCAAGGTTGGAACACAGCGGCATGCTCATGGCTACTCCAGCGGCGACCCCCTCGGCTCAGGCAATCCTTCCAAGAAGCCAGAACTACAGGCACACGCTGACACGCCTGGCTAATGTTTCCATTTATTGTACAGATGAAATCTTTCCAAGTTGCCTAGGCTGTTCTCAAACCCATGGGTTCAGACAATTCCCTCACCTTGACCTCCGAAAGTGCTGGGATTACAGACTTGAGCCACTGTGCCTGACCCACACAGAATATAATCTTAATGCCATTGAATTACCAGATTTTTGGTCAGAAATCACAAAATAACGAACATAAGATCTGCAATGAAGAAACATACAAAGCCAGAATTGAAAGAGATCTCAATATAAGTTTTGCTACCAAATAAGGCTCCAAAATATTGTGAGGTAGAAACTTTTTCATTTTCAACAAACAGCATCATGTCTTATGTGAACTTTGTATAAGATTATATTATAAATTCAATCTCATGTTTCCCTCCCACATTTTATTACTATAATTAAAGTCATCTACAGAATTATTAAATTGGAATTAATAAGATTACTTCTTATACTTTAAAGACTTTCATACCAACTGGCATTTTCAGTCCCTTGAAATTTATTTTAACCTCTCTTTATGGGAAAAATGTACAGACTAGAGACAAATTCTGGACAGAGTAGCAAAAATCCCAAGTCAAACACAACAAGCACTGTTTTCTGGGGGGGTTTTTTTGAGTCAGAGTCTCACTTTGTCGCCTAGGCTGGAGTGCAGAGGTATGCTCATGGCCACCAGAGCCTCAACCTGCTGGGCTCAAGCAATCCTTCTGCTTCAATTTTCCAAGTAGCTGAAACTACAGACATGTGCCACTACACCCAACTAAGTTTTCTGATTTATTGTAGAGATGAGGTCTTATCATGTTGCCCAGGCTGGTCTCGAACCCGTGAGCTCAGGCAATTCTCTCACCTCGGCCTCCCAAAGTGCTGGGATTACAGGTATGAACCACCATGCCCAGCTAACAAGTACATGTAAAAACAATAAGAAATCTCTCTTCATCCATCCAGTGGAAGAAACAGAGACATCTGTGAAAATGAAAGGAAAAACTACTAAATGAAAACCTCATTTTTTAAATAAAATAAAAATCTAATGAAGCATAGGAAGGCACTGGTGTCTTCATGCTTAGCTCCAAATACTAAAAAATAGGGTCTTATAAAAAGGGAGGGGGCTTACTTTCATAATGTGTAAGCAGTCACACTGGAGTATCTGCCATGATCATAAACTTCAGCAATAACTGGATAAAATTATACTCTGTCTCATGAAGTAATTCAGGAGCAGTACTTCAGCACCACAGAAAAAGCCAACCTCAAAGGTGTTGGAAACCACGACATCTATTTCATTAACCCCTGTCTCTACTATCAAATAAAATCTATCTAGGATCTTGTCAATTTCTTCACTATCTTTTGGGAGTTTTTTTTTTTTTTTTTAAGTTGAAGTCTCACTCTGTCGCCCAGACTGTAATGTAGTGGCACGCTCCTAGCCATCGTAGCCTCGACCTACTGGGCTCTGACGATCCTTCCACCTCAGCCTTCCAAGTAGCTGGAGCTACAGGCACACGCTACCACGCCCGGCTAATTTTTGATTTATTGTAAAGACAAGGTATCGTCAAGTTGTCCAGGCGGGTCTCAAACCCGTGGGCTCAAGCAATCACCTTGGCCTCCCAAAATGCTGGGATTACAGGCTGAGCCACTGAGCCCAGCCCTTTTTTATCTTTTTATTTTGGAAATTATAAAGTATATACAAAGCAGAAAGAATGAGGTAATGAATTTCCATATGTTCATCATCAAGTTCAACAATTATCAATTAATAGCCAATGTCGTTCTATCCATCCCTCCACAAATACATACACACACACACTAAATTATACTTAAGTACATGGGAAAATGTTTTAATCCCCTTTTAAAAACTGACAATTATAAGTCATAATTGCAAAATACTCTATTTAGCAAACAATTTACCAATAACTACTATTATCACTTAGGGCCTTTACTTACACAAAGCATAAGTTTTATGGAGCAAGGTTACCAGAGGTGTAATCCAAATTTCATGCTGTGATGCAGAAACAGTTATTTAAAATCACCATCTATATGCATAATTTCAATGGTAATCAAAGCCATCAAGTTTCTATATACACTAGTCTCAAAAGTAATAAGACAAAGGAAAAAGGGTTGCAAAGCTCACTCACATGACCAAATATTACCAGGGCAAGTGGAAAAATATGTGACTTTCAGAGCCTACAATCAACTGAACAAAATGACTAAAACATTGAAGAACTGAAAGTACTTTTCCCAAAGTTCATATCAGTTCTAATAAAATGTCAGTGTTCGTAAAATTTTATTTTAAACAGGAACAGGAAGCCATGACACAGAATAGTTAAGTGAGTTTGTTAAGGTTGTACTGGCACTAAGCAGCACAACTAAAACTAGCTATGAGTCAACTGACTGCCATTCCAGAGCTTTTTAGGGTGGAAGTGGGAGGGGTAGATCTTTTATCAGAACTTGAAAGATAGGAATTTGCTATCATGGACTCCATTTTAAATTGTTTATTTTAAAATTTTACACAAGAGATTAATATCAATCTGGCTTCTATGTTAGTTCTTTATTTCTTTTAAAAATGTTAGTTATATCATTACTTTATCCTTGGGAAAGTATTGCTATAACAATGCCTACTACTCTGAAAACATCTGGAATTTACTATCTACAGACTCTTTCAGCCCCAAGCAAGGTAAGACCTTGCTAAGAATTATTTTCCTGCCTATAACACAAAGTGCACATCATGTCTTGGAGAATGCTCCCAAAGGAAGACATCAAAATCACAAGCAGTTGTACTATACCCTCAAAATTGCAGGGAAGAAGTCTAGTATTATTCAAAGAATCTGAAGGAAAGTGGGACACAAAATTCTCAACAGCAAAATGACTAACATACTAATAAATCCAGACTACAGACAGAGAGATAGGAAAAGTTTAATGACCTCTAAGTCAACTTTCTGATTTTAGATCTGGCCTATCAGTTAGGTACCTTTTATTGATGGACCTGAGAGAGACCCTACAAAAACAACCCTGATTCTCCTCTCGGTGGAGAAATTAAATCCCACATTCATGCCCTTCAATGTGAGAGAGTTTAAAGGTCATAACTCCAGGGTCTGGAGCATTCCAAAATTCTAGATTTCTCAGATAAAAACCACTATAACTCTCAGTGGCCATCACATGGATTTAATAGCTAGCAACTTCAGGTTGACAGCAGAGAAATAGAATCATCCAAAAAATAACCAAAATAATTCCAAAAATACTGAAGTACTACGATGACAGTCCTGTGGCATTTCTTCTTCCTACTGTTTCAAAAAGAGAAGTCAAAATAGCAATGGAATCCTTAGTTCTCACAAAGACAAAACAAGCCCTAGGTCTATGCTCTCCAGGGAAATAAGCAGAGCTTCCACTTCCATTAAAGAACTCCAGTTTCCCAGTGTTTATGCTTGCCTTCTGAGCAGAGGATAACAGTGCAAGACCTCAGCTCCATGGCAAAGTTCAGAGTCTTAGGATTATTTTAGACCTTCAGGTTGCAAGTGTTCAACTTGTCCTTTATGGGGAAGCTACATCCCTAAGATCTTGCTGCCTCTAGATACACATTAAATATTAATCTATATTCATATAAGTTTTTGTGTACATTTCATTAACCCAGATATGAGGAAATCCAATGTTATGATTCCCACAGAAACTGTAATCCTGGCAAACCCATATACATGTATTTTGTATTACTTCAGAAGGTAGTCACCTTAAAAGATACATACAAAGAATAAAGCACATTTTAATCTCCATATCTTATTACAAAGAAAAACTCCAGGGATAGCGAAGCTCTGTAACACCAATTAACAAAGACAAGACCAAGACCTAGAGAGTGTCCTGGGAAACCATGATCACCTAGCCTGAAGGACGTGGGCCAAACAACTTAACAGGGTTTCTTCTAAACTCTCAGTTCTTATATGCGAGAAAACCAGTTGCTTGGTGTTTAAAACTTCAATTCATGGCTGGGCTCGGTGGCTCAGCCTGTAATCCCAGCACTTTAGGAGGCCAAGGCAAGTGGATTGCCTGAGCCTGTGGGTTTGAGAACCACCTGGGCAACTTGGCAAGACCTCGCCTCTACATAAATCAAAAATTAGCCAAGTGTGGTAGCATGTGCCTGTAGTTTCAGCTACTTGGAAGACTGAGGCAGAAGGATCGCTGGAGGCCAGCAGGTCAAGGCTGCAGTGGCCGGGAGCATGCCACTGCACTCCAATCTGGGCGACAGAGTAAGACTCCAACTCAAATAAATAAATAAATAAACAAATAAATAATAAAACTTCACTTCAAATATTCAATACTTCGAAAAAGTACCATAAATGCTAATCAGATGCAAAATAGGCTCAATTTTAGCTCCAACTAGGAGCAACAGATAAAATATCTGGTTATCATAAAAAGGATCATTTACTGTAAAACCAACTAAATAATACTTAAGTCAGTTAGATAGAAAATGGTTTCCATGGTTCTTAGTTCAAGGTTAAAATACCTGTTTCTGAAAGGCTAAATGCTATTACAATAGGCTAAAATGAAAGACAGAAGAGCTCAAGGACTAAGCGGCCAAACACCAAAGTCTGAATTCAGGTTCTACCACTTAAGACCTATGCCTTTGGGCAGCTACTTTGCCCATTTTTACCTCAGTTTCACCATTTAAAAGACGTGATAATAAAAGACCTAAACGTAAAACCTCAAACTATAAGAATCTTAGAAAATGCAGGAGGCACCCTTATGGAAATTGGAACTGAGAACCAATTCCTATTCAGAACCCTAAAGGCCAATACCTTAAGAAATAAGATGGACAAGTGGGACCTCATCAAACTAAGGAGCTTCTGCAAAGCAAAAGAAACCATCAAGAGAGCAGGGAGACAGCCCATAGAATGGGAAAAAATATTTGCCAACTGTATATATGACAAAGGCCTAACATCTAGGATCTATAAGGAACTCAAAAGCGCCAAAAGAAAAAAACAAACAGCCCCTTTAAAAAGTGGGCAAAAGACATGAATAGACACTTCTCAAAAGAAGATAGATGGGCAGCCAACAGACACATGAGAAAGTGCTCAGCCTCACTCATCATCAGAGAAATGCAAATCAAAACCACACTGAGATACCACCTAACCCCAGTAAGAATGGCCATCATTAATAAAACAAACAACAACGGATGCTGGCAAGGATGTGGAGAAAAAGGAACGTTTCTACACTGCCGGTGGGAATGCAAACTAATGCAACCTCTTTGGAAGACAGTGTGACGATTTCTGAAAGAGCTAGAAATTGACCTTCCATATGACCCAGCAATTCCCCTATTGGGAATATACCTGGAGGAACTCAAATCATTCTACAAAAAAGATACCTGCACACGTATGTTAGTTGCAGCTCTATTCACAACAGCAAAAACATGGAACCAACCATGTTGCCCATCGAAGCTGGATTGGATAAAGAAAATGTGGTACATATACACAATGGAATATTATGCAGCCATAAAGAAGGACAAATATATGGACTTCACAGCAACTTGGATGGATTTGGAGTCGATCATACTCAGTGATCTATTACAGAAACAAAGAACAAAGTACCATATGTTCTCACTCATAAGCGGACCTTGAACAATTATAATACTATAAGAAAGCATTTGGCAGTAATGAGAAACTGTGGGGGGGGATTGGCAGCTGAGGGAAACTGCTAGGGGAGGAAGGGGCATACCTCATCAACAAGGGTACCTGCATAATCAATGTTTGTATACTTAACCCTGAATTGTACCCCACATCTTTATAATAAAAAAAGAAATACTTAAAACAAGAAAATAAAAATTTTTAAAGAGGTTATAATAATAAAGCCTACTTTGTAAAGCTATCTTGAGTACTAAATAAAGTGATTACATATGTAGAGTTCTCAGAACTGTAGTCTTCAAAAATGGCAGTGTCACATAAAACAGGCTAGCCAGGCTCAGTGGCTCAGCCTGTAATCTCAGCGCTTTGGGAGGCCGAGGTGAGTGGATTGCCTGAGCCCGTGGGTTCAAGACCCGCCTGGG